TGGATGTGAGGTTAATAACTGCCCTCCAAGTGCTCCAAGTCCAAGTGCTCAGTGGGACGACCGCGAGGTGGCATGAAGGTCGCTGCGAGAATCGGCGAGGGACTGCGAAGGGAGATAGAAAGAGGTAGTAGGTAGACGCCCGAGCGTGGGCGAAGGCTAGCACCGCATTCTCTCCTTAAAATCCCTGTGTGGTGGCGGCGTGCCGTCCTCCCATCCCTCCCTTGGGTTGTCTTGGAGCACTTGGAGCACTTGGAGTGCAGTCGGCAACCGCACACCCAGGGCCGGGGAGCTGAGAAGCGCACCCAGCGGGCCGGATGATTGGCATCGGGTTGCGGGCAAGAGAGCCCTAGCCCAGGGGGTGCGCGTTCGCAGGGAAAGGGCCGTAAAGTAAACACGGGTCTCCGAGGGTTAGTCCGCGCTCCAGGTTTCCCCTAGCAGCGGAGCGCCCCCTCTACTCGGAGCTAATAAACACCAGACACGCACACGACGTACATCCTCACTCGACGTCACCCCTCGAGGCTTCCCGGTCTGGCCTCCCCCCCCTCGGTCTGGAGGGGCCCTCTTATCCCCTCGGTCCTCCCCCCACTCGCTTTCCGCTGGTTGGGCAACGGATGCGGGGCCCGACCCCCCCTCCTAGCCTTTTTCGGCCGCGGCCCCGCCGCCGTCTCGCCCACTCTGCCTGCTCCTGTTGACTCCACCTCCGGTGGTCCCATGCCCAACTCCTCGGGCGAGGGCGGCGGCACTGGATCGCCACGCCGCCCCTCCCCGTGAAGTGAGGCCGGCTCTCTTCGGTCGAGGACTCGTGCCCGCCCCCGCGGTCTCTCTATCGTCCTCGGCTCGTCCGTACGTCCCGATTCTACCCGCAGAGGCCGCGTCAGCTCGTCTCTCACCTCCTCCGACAGCTGACCCCAAGCCCCCCCTGGGGCCCTCCGGCCTCGGCCTTCCGGCTCGCCGGCGGGCCCGTTATCGTACTGCGGCCCCTCCCCTCTCCCAGCTCCTCCCTCCGGGTACTCTAGCCTCCGGCGGGGTGGTCCCGGACCCCCCAGGTTATGCCGAGCGGGTCCATACGGTGGCGGCCCCGCCGGCGGCAGGGGTGGAGGCGGTAGCAGGGGCGGCGGGTACGGTGGCGGCCCTCGCGGCCCAAACGCCTGGTGTGGAGCCGCTGGGGCGGCCCCACGACCCTGCAGCCGTTCCAGTGGCGAGGGCGGAAACGGCAGTGTGGGTGGCGGAAACGATGGCGGTACTGGCGGCTGCACCGCCTGGTGTGGAACTTCAGGGGCGGCTCCTCGACCCAGCGGTCGCTCCAACGGCGGGGGCGGAGGCGGTGGTGGTGGGGGCGGGCCTGGTGGCGGTGCCGGCCGTCGCAACTCCTGGGGCGGGGCCTCGGGGGGACACCACCATATAGATGGAATTACGTGTCCCCAAAGGTAGGACCTGCGTCCTGCACAAAGCTGCAAGGGAGGCAGCGGCGGCGGAAGGGGCGAGAACGGAGGGGGAGGGGGAGGTGGTTAAGGAGGGGGCAAAGATGGAAGAGGCAGCGGCGAGGGAGGAGGAGGCGGCGAGGGAGGAGGAGGCGGCAAGGGAGGAGGAGGCGGCGGAGGTGGCGGTAAGGGGGGAGGAGGCGGCAAGAGAGGAGGCGGTGAGGAAGGGCCCGGCGGTAGATGCGGCGGTGGCGGCGGTAAAGGGGGCGAGGGCGGAGAGGGAGGGGGTGGCGGTGGGGGAGGAGGCGGCAAAGGGGGGGTTTGGATTGTGGACTCCTGGGTGAAAGTGCTGCCCTGGTTCAGGACTCACACACTTCCAGCAACCAGCAGTCCGGATGGAAGAAATCAGGTAGGAAGCAGCGGGGGGGACGGAAGAAGTCAATCCCTCCCTGCAAAGGGAAAAGAAAGGAAGGTCAGCGATCTCGCTCAGTCGCAACTCTTGAGCGCCGTACCCCCCAACCAAACTTTCGGTTATAATAACCGACGGAGGTTGATAGGCAAAGTTGGAAGCAGTAACGGCGATCGCGTTCGCACCATGCAAGTCGCCTGTCGAGCAGCTTCCACGGCGCGCATGCGCCGCGGAGTTGACCGACAGCCGCGTGCCTCGGGCCTCCCACTCCACGCGCGGCACGACGCACCCCGCGCGCCATTCATCGCCGCAGAAGTGCTGCGACATGCTGCACGACGCCGAGGACAGCGTTGAGAAGCTGGCGCCATTCGCCAACCCGCATGCCTCGGCACCGGGCCGGAGAGCAGGCTGCGCATGTCGATGCAGCTGGAGGTTGCCACCCATCAGGCTCTCACACCAAACCACAGGCGCCGTCGAGCTCTCGCAGCCGCGCTGCACAATGCTCCAGCTCAGGAGGGCTCCCTGCTTCTCGCAGCTTTGTGCAGCGCAGCGAGCGGGCAGCGCTGCACCAGACGGACCCACGGCGTGCTCAGCGAGCCGCGAGGCGGAGGCAGGCCGAGTGAGCGCGAGCCGCATCGGCGCCCATGTCCCGCGCAGCGGCGAGCGAGCGGCACGGAGGAGTGCAATGTCGCGCATTGCGTAACGGTTCTAAAATCTCTCCGGGCCTGAGTACTTTGCCTCAAAAGTCAAATTTAATGTAACGTCAAACGTGTGCAGCTTGCCGTCGACCACCGCCAGAGCGGGAGCAAACCGCATCTCCGCCATCGGCGCCACCGCCTCCCACGCGTTCTGTGTCGGGTCGTACCGCTCCACCGAGCTGAGGTAGCCGTCGTCGTCGTTGCGGCCTCCCGCAGCATACAGCTTGCCGTCTAGCACCGCCACGGCGTGATTCTCGCGCGCCTCCGCCAACCCATTGGCGCCACCTCCTCCCACGCATCCAGCGCCGGATCGTACCGCTCAACCGACGACGACGACGACGACAGCATAGGCCTTGCCGTCGAGCACCGCCAGGGCGTGACTAATCCGCGACACTGCCATCGGCGCCACAGTCTCCCACGCATCCAACGCAGGGTCGTACCGCTCCGCCGAGCTGAGGAAGCCGTTGTTGTACCCGCCCGCAGCGTACAGCTTGCCGTCGAGCACCGCGACGGTGTGAGAATCCCGTGCTGTCGCCATCGATCGGCGCCGCCGCCTCCCACGATTTCGTCTCAAAGTCGTACCGCTCCACCATTGGAAGTTGCGCCGTCCAACCTCTGGCCGCCCGCCGCATAGAGCTTGCCATCGAGCACCGCCATGCGGACATCTTCACGTGCCGTCGGCATCGGCGCCACAGCCTCCTCCTCCCACTCATTCGTTGACGCGTCGTAACGCTCCAGCGAACTGATGAACTCGTGGACGGTTGCTGTCGTGGCCGCCGAACACGAGCATGCGCGGCCGCTTGCGCTTCTTCAGTGTCTCCTTCCAGCCGCGGCGCCATGCGCGGCACGTCCCCTTGACGGCGTGCTCCGTGGTCGGCAGCTGGGCGAGGATGTGCGGGGCGAGGTCCGGCGAGAGGAGCACCTCGGAGGCTCGGAGAGCACCCACTCGGGCTGCTCCACGTACCACGAGCCGTGCGGCGTGCTCCTCCGCCACGCGCAGCGCGGCGGCGCTCGCGCCCGCCTGCGCCTCGATGATGGCGCACAGCTGCTCTGGCGAGAGCGCGGGCGCCGATGCGCGGTGGGAGCGATAAGAAAACACAGGCCCGCACACTCCAAGAGGTCTGCGACAAGCAACGCACGCTCAGCACACTCAGGCGAGGGACTTCAGCACACTCCACGCCGTGGGGCTAGCACACAACGGCGACTACATCAAGACGCTAGACGGCGAAAGCCTTCATCCGCGCCGCCGCCATCGGAGCCACCGCCTCCCACGCATCCAACGCCGGGTCGTACCGCTCGACCGAGCTGAGGATGATGCCGCTGTTGTAGCCTCCGACAGCGTACAGCTTGCCGTCGAGCACCGCTACACCATGGTCGCTCCGCGCCTCCGCCATCGGCGCCACCGCCTCCCACGCGTTTGTCGCCGAATCGTACCGCTCCACCGAGCTGAGGAAGCCGTTGTTGAAGCCGCCCACAGCGTACATCTTGCCGTCGAGCACCGCGACGGCGAGAACGCGCCGCGCCGCCGCCATCGGCGCCACCGCCTCCCACGCATTCATCGCCGAATCGTACCGCTCCACCGAGCTGAGGCGGCCGCCGTGACCACGCCCGCCAGCAGCGTACAGCTTGCCATCGAGCACCGCGACGCCGACATCAGCTCGCGCCGCCGCCATCGGAGCCACCGCCTCCCACGCATCCAGCGCCGGGTCGTACCGCTCCACCGAGCTGAGGATGCCGTTGACGTCGTGGAGGCCGCCCACGGCGTACAGCTTGCCATCGAGCACCGCCACGGCGTGGTTCTCGCGTGGTGTCACCATCGGCGCCACCTCCTCCCACGATTTCGTTGCCAGGTCGTACCGCTCCAAAAGATTGGAAGTTGCGCCGTCAGCCACAGTCTCGCCGCCCGCCGCGTAGAGCTTGCCGTCAAGCACCGCCGTGCCGACATCTTCACGTGCCGTCGGCATCGGCGCCACAGCCCCCTCCTCCCACTCATTCGTTGACGGGTCGTACCGCTCCAGCGAGTTGAGGAACTCGCCATCGCTGCCTTGGCCGCCGATCACAACCAGGCGCGGCCTCTCGCGCTTCTTCAGCGTCTCCTTCCAGCCGCGGCGCCACGCGCGGCACGTCCCCTTGACGGCGTGCTCCGTGGTCGGCAGCTGGGCGAGGATGTGCGGGGCGAGGTCCGGCGAGAGGAGCACCTCGGAGAGGACCCACTCGGGCTGCTCCACGAGCCGTGCAGCGTGCTCCTCCGCCACGCGCAGCGCGGCGTCGCTCGCGCCCGCCTGCGCCTCGATGATGGCGCACAGCTGCTCTGGCGAGAGGCCCGCGACGCGCGCGCCGATGCGGTGGGAGGCCATCGGCTCCGGGAGGTCGCAGGGTTCCAACTTTTTGCGGGGTATGGTCCTGCCTGCGTCCGGAAGGCTGGGTCTGTCAGCAGGCGGGGGGGTATGGTCTCGAGGTGGGTTGCGCGAGAGTACCATACCCCGCAAAAAATCCGAACCCAGCATCAACGGCAAGAAAAAGAAAACGTGCGTCACACCGCACTCCAAGTGCTCCAAGGGCTGCGACAAGCGGCGGGGGCACGCACACGCAGCACACTCAGGCGAGCCCGCGTGAGACGTGTGTGTAAGTTTTCTGTTTGTTGCACCACGACACTCGACACGGCACGCGACATCTTAAGTGTTAAGAGCCTATCGCACGCGACCGCATGCGACCTCCTCGATCTGCGCCGCAAACTCGGCGGAGGAGGGAAACGGGCCGAACGCCGCCTCTCGCCTGCGCCGAATCTCGGCGAACGGCGTGAGCGACGTCGTGAGGAGGGTCTGCAGGGGAGGGTCGCGCAGCCCAAGCGGCGAGAGGAGAAAGTCGAGCGCGCTCGATGCGGCGTAGAGCAACTTCCGCGTGGGCGGCGCGTCGGCGCCGGGCCCCGTCGAGAGGTCGAGGAGCGCGGTGCCTTCGGGGACGCGCTCCCGTGAGTAGGCGGGCAGTGCGGCGGCCACGTCGCCGTCGAAGCGGCTCAGCACATCGCTGAGCGAGATCGCGTCCTGCAGCGCCGAGTTGCAGCCTTGGCCGGACGCGCCGCCCGTCGAGTGCGCCGCATCGCCAAGCAGCGCCGCGCGACCCAAGCTGTACGAGTTGCACCTGACCGTTGCCGCCTTGGAGACGCGCTGCGCGACAAACTGCTCGCCGATGGCCGTCGTGTTGAGCGCGTCCGCGAGGAGCGGCAACGCGCTCGCCAAAGCGCGCCGCGCCGCGTCCGCGTCGGTCGCGCTCGCTGGCTGCCAACTGCCCTTGCTGCCGTCGGGGAGAGTCGTGGTGAGGGTGTCGCCGCGCCAGCTGAGGAGGGCGCACGCCTCGCCGCGCGCGGTCGGCTCCAAGAAGGCCGCGAGGCCGCCCGCGCCCGGGACGAGGTGCACGGCGTCGGGCGCCAGCCGCGCGGGCATCCTCTCGAGGCGCAGCACCTTGAGGCTGCCGCCGAGAGTCGCCCGCTCTGCGTTGAAGGACGGGCACCGCTCGGCGAAAGAGGCGCGCACGGCGGACTGCACGCCGTCGCAGCCCGCGATCAGGTCGAACGATCCCGTCGTCGTGGCGCCGCCGCCGCCGCCGCCGCCGCCGTCCTCGCCTCCGCCGCCACCGCCGTCCTCGCCTCCGTCACCACGTCCGTCCTTGCCGCCGCCACCACCGCCGTCCTCGTCGCCGCCGGGCCAGTACGCGAGCTGGCCGCTCTCCGGGTCGACGTGCAGTTCGCTCTCTCCGGGTCGACGTCTCCAGGCCAGTTCGCCGCTCTCCGGGTCGACTTTCTCGACGCGCGCGCGGAACTGCATGTCGAGCCGGCCGGAGGCGCGGTGGCGCGCCTCCAGTGCGGTCAGCAAGGCGGAGCACAGGTCCGACTGGTAGATGAGGACGGACGGCTCCTGCCCCGAAATGTGGGGAGATGCGGGGAGATGTGGGTAGAGTTGAGCATCTAGGGCGGACGGCTCCTGCCCCGGCGTCGGCTTGCGCAAGTCGACGGCGCCAAAGAAGGGCGCGTGCAGCGTGAAGCGGTCGCTGCCAAACCCCTCCGCCTTGACCGCTTGCCACAGCGCCTCATCGACCGCGCGAATGGCCGCGCGCCCCCGCAGACCGAGCCCGAGCGCATAGGCGCGCCCCTCACGCACCCTGCCGTCGCGCGGGTCGCCGCGCGCCTCAAGCAGCGTGACGGATGCGCCCGCGTCCAGCAGTCGGTGAGCGAGGAGCAGGCCGCTCGCGCCGCCGCCGACGATGGCCGTGTTGAGCCTAGGGAGGGAGTGGCGTGGTGCCGTATGCTCACTCGCGATGTGCGGCAGTGTCAGCTGGCCGATGAGAGCAGGCATCGCGATGTGCGGCAGTGTCAGCTGGCCGATGAGCAGGCATCGCGATGTGCGGCAGTGTCAGCTGGCCGATGAGAGCAGGCAGTTGAGCATCTAAGGGGGAGTCGAGCCCGGCGAGTGTGCTCGTGCCGCCGCCCGTCTCGCCTGCGGGGCCGTCTGGCGTGGGAGGAATCGGGGCCAGCGAGGCGGGCGTGGAGGGCAGCGAGGCGGGCGGGGACACGAGGGGATGAGGGAGGGATGGGGCGGGAGGCGCATCGAGGTACAATTGCTGCTGTCGAGGATGCGCGGACCGTCGTCGCCGACAACGCTGGCCCTCGGATCGCTGCGGCGCCAGTTTCTCTGCGGCCGAGCGGCGGCCGACTGATCTCCTCCTCCTCCTCCTTCCCCCCGCCCCCCTGATTCGGTCGTGCTGGCCGCCGCCGCGGCCACCTCTCGGAGCAGCAAACCGCCGCCCAACGCTCCAGCCGCCCCGAGCACCAGGCTCGCAAAGGACGGGAAGGACGCCGCGCCGTCGCCCTCGACGATTTCGAGTGCCGACGAGAACAGGCTGCCGGCGTAGACGTGGGTGAGGACCGCTGGGAGGGTGGCGAGCGCCGTCGCCGGAAAGTAGTCGTCGAGGCTCACGCCGGCCAAGGCGAGGCCATAATTGTTGAGCCAGGAGGGGATGGGCGAGAGGCGTGCCAGCAGCGTGAATCGAGCACCATCGCGCTCCACGCTCTGCGCGAGGTTTGCGAGCGATGGTTGCGCCGCGTAGGCACGAGCTGCCGCCTCCTCCACGCCGGCAGCGGAGAGAGCCGCGCGAGCGATGCCGCTCGACACGAGGTAGGTGATCGTCGCAGCCAGCACTTTAGCCGACCAAGCGACCGCGGCGCCTTGATAGACGCCGAATAGCAAGCCGGCCGCTAGCTCGAAGAGAATCGTCGCTGGAAAGCAGCCGACCACGGCCGCCGTGTGCACGCATGCAAATGCTACGAGGCCGGCCGCACCTCGGCCGCTCGTCCAGTCGCTCAGGGCAACGACTGCATCCGCAGAAGCGGTGGCAGCGATCGAGGCACGCACGGCCGGAGCGGTGGCGTGGAGGAGAGGACGCACACACGCATGCATGGCATATATGGGTTCGGGCTCCCTTCCGGGTAAGGGGGGTAGACCTGTCTGACTTGTTTAGACGCCGGGTAAGGCGGACCATTGCCATGGGCTCTGAGAGGACCGGACGGGCGTCGCCGTCGGGCGACGGCAGTGAGAGCGGCCGAGCACCTCATGATGCTGGTCTCACCGCCGTCAAGCTCCGGGTGTTCATCGCGGGACCGGCGAGGACGCGAAACGTGTACCCGCAGAAGCACTATAAGTAAGTGTGCCTACCCAAAGTTCTGATAGATAGTGCGCGCCAGTCCCGTGCCCAGTGTTGTGCAAGGGAGTTTTGTTGTAAAATTCTGATAGATTCGCCCGCCGCCGGGGGGGCGGCGTTGCAACGATAACAAGACCGCGCGCACTCGTGTGCGCGCAAGAATTATTCGGCAATGGCGCCCGCTCGCGCGAGCTCGTCGCGGGCCACAGTGTCCGAGCGCCTGGTGTTGATCCCAGCCATCAACAAGAACAGCACGACTGGCTACAAGTGCGTGGCCTACAGCCGCCGCGATAAGAAGTTCCAGGCGCAGGCGCAGAATGGCGGCAAGCGTGTCTATCTCGGCTCCTTCGACACCGCCGAAGAGGCGGCCTCCGCCTACGCTCGCTCAGAGTACGGCCGCGCCGACGCTGCCAAGCTGCTGCAGCCTCGCCCGGCTCCCACTGCCGCTGGCGCCGAGGCGATACGGCAGGCGGAGAGGGAGGGCCTCACGCTGGCCACGAGCAGCAGCAGCAACACAGGCTACAAGGGTGTGTGCTACCGCAAGGAGACAGGCAGCAAGAAGTACCAGCTGCAGGTGGCGAGTGGCGGCAAGCAAGTCAGCCTCGGCTGGTTCGCAACCGCCGAGCAGGCGGCGCTCTTCTACGCTCGCAGGGAGGCGGGCAGGGACACCAGCGATCTCACCGCGCCGCCGCCGCCGCCGCCACCACCCGAGCCTTCCACTGCTGCTGGCGCCGAGGCGGTCCGGCAGGCGGGGAGGGAGGGCCTGACTCTGACTACGAGCAGCAAAAGCAACAGCGGCTACAAAGGCGTGACCTTCTACCCGAAGGAGCGAGGCAGCAAGAAGTACAAGCTGCATGTGTGGGTTGGCAGTAAGCTGCTCCACCTCGGCCTCTTTGCCACCGCCGAGCAGGCGGCGCTCTTCTACGCCCGCAGGGAGGCGGGCAGGGACATGGCAGTGCTCTACCCGCCGCCGCCGCCACCGCCGCCGCCACCCGCGCCTTCCTCTGCCGCTGGCGCCGAGGCGATACGGCAGGCGGAGAGGGAGGGCCTGACTCTGGCTACGAGCAACAGCAGCAACAGTGGCTACAACGGCGTGACCCTCTACCCGAAGCAGCAAGGCAGCAAGAAGTACAAGCTGTCAGTGAGGGTTGGAGGCCGGCAAGTCAGCCTAGGCTGGTACGCCGCCGCCGAGGAGGCGGCGCTGGCGCGTGCGCGGCACCTGTGGGACACCACCGTCCGCCTGCTCGAGCCGCAGCCGCAGCAAGCACCGCCGCAAGGCGCAGCAGGGCCGTCCGAGGCCAGCTACGAGGAGGAGGAGGACGGCTTCGATCCAACGGACATCGCCGAGGCGGTGGCTCTCTCGCTGCTTCCCGATCCGCCTTCCGCGAGCGAGCAGAGGGCGGCGAGGTGGCAGGCGCGCGCAGCAGAGCAGGCGGCGAGGGCGGATGCTGCGGCGACGGCGGCGGCGCAGGCGGCGGCGGAGGCTGCCCCGCCATGGGACGACGAGGTGGAGGTGGAGGCAGAGCAGGAGAGCGATAGCGAGGACGAGTCGGAGATGGAGGTGGAGGCCGCCGCAGCAGCAAGGGTGGCGCCGGCTCCAGCAGCAGAGGAGCCACCTCAGTGCGCCATTTGCTTGGACGACCTCGGCGCACACCCCGAGGCGCGTCTGCAGCCTCGCGACCCAAACGGCTGGGGCGCCACGCGCTGCTGCAAGAGCCTCTTTCACTACCATTGCTTGCACGCTTGGCTCAGCGACAACAGCGAGGTCGAGACGAGCCGTGGCATGGAGCCGATCAACACGACCTGCCCTTGCTGCCGAGGCTTCGTATCAAAGTCGGCGTCGCGCATGCTGGCCTAGGCGGCCCTAGAGGAGGAGTCCGGGCTTAGGGGCGGCTCTACCGTGACCGTGTCGCCGGCCGCGCTCCCCCGACTCCCTTGCGTGAGGTGTATACCACCTCTACCTGTCACTGACTGCGCCAGCGGCCCAGTGTTAGTCTCGGGGGACTGCAGGTCCCCCGCGCGCGCTTTTTGAGGCGTCGTTCGGGCTCGAAAAAGCAACCCCGCGGCTCGTACTCGCAGCTGGATTTTGTGCAAAATGAAGTTCGCGCCCGCGGAGAGTGCACGGAGTTGCCCCTTCTGCCTTCTCCGACTGCACCGGCTAGTTCACGGGTTTCGCGGGAGTGACCGTGTGTGTGTGTGTGTGTGTGTGTGTGTGTGTGTCACTCACTCACACACGCGGGAGTGACCCCATGCAAGACCTCTCTCCCCCCATGCGTCAAACCCGCGACCCAGCGCGGGTGGGTTGGAGGGGGCTCGCTGCAAGAGGAAGGGCTGTGTAAGAAGCCGATGCCCCGTAGTCCTCACCACTCCTCCCCATCGGGCCGCATATGAGCGGCCTCGCCTCGCAGATTCGTTTCTCGCGCCTGGATCAGGCGCGCAGGGCACCCCCCGGGTGCGCGGGTCGCTCGACCAGCGATCCGAAGCCTCTCTCACAGCACGCTGGCACGACAAGGGCGCAGACTGGCGCGGACTGGCACACACACCGGCTCACGCCTCACCACCGGAGCCGCCTAAGCCGGACTCCGTTAAGAACGGCAATGAATGCACTCCGCACCGTGCGCAATGCCGCTCTCCCCGCATGCTAGCTCGTTCACCGTCTGCCACGCCACAGCGGTGTGGAGGACGACGGACAAACGCTGCATTTGCAGCATGCAGGCCGTGCCAATTCTTACGACCCTGGCTCACTTCTGTGACACTTCCGACATGTCCCTCAGTCCATGGCTCACCTCTGTGACGTGTGCAGGACATGTTACTCAGGCTGCCGGGGAGCTGCTGGTTGCAGTCAGTCAGTGTTACACACCTCCTAGCATGGAGGACGGGCCACACGCACACACACGCTGCACACGATTGGCTCGGGAGCCGACACGAGGCACACTGTCACCGGCTGTAGCACCGGGTCCGGACTGCTGGACACACAGCACACAGCTCACAGGACAGCTCATGTACTCGCGCAAGGCCGGCTGGCCAGCATCGGCCGCCCTTCCGGCCGCTGGCGCGGCGACGGCGGGCGCGGCGGCGGCGGGCGCGGCGACGGCGGGCGGGGAGCAGATCCACAAGTTGAGCATCGTCGAGACGCCTAGGGGAGATATGGGGAGATATGGGGAGATATGGGGAGATATGGGGAGATATGGGGAGATATGGGGGAGATCCACAAGTCGAGACGCCCTTGCACGCCATGAACGTGAGCGTGGCCATACTTGTCCTGGAAGCCGAGCATCAGCCCGGTGAGGATCGTGAGGCAGAGCATGTAGACCAGGAAGATTCGGTCCTGCAGCCGCGAGAGGAAGGAGTGCACGTCGGCGTCCACCTGCAGCTTCCTCCCTCGACTTTGTTATCCTTATGACTCTTGGCCGGATGGGCCTGATTCTATTCCCTGCAAGTCATGCGTCGAGCAAGACGCGACGATGACGGCGCCGCCGGCGATGCAGAGGCAGCAGCCGATGAGGTCGCGGCAGCGCAGGCCCTCCCCGAGCACGAGGGCCGCGATAAACGCGTTGGACAGCACGGAGATGGCTCCGAGCGGCGCAATCACCGGGGCTCTCTCGCATCACGTCGTCGACTGGGTCCGCGCCTCGCCGCTCGTGCGCCGAGCTACGGCAGACCTGGCAGCAGCGCGATCAGTGCGCTTTGTGCACTATGCCGAAGATATCTTCATCGGCTGGCTCGCATCGCACACCCCGCGCATCCAGGCCCTCGGTCTCAGTTTCATGGGCCGCGCTGTTCATGACATCGACGAGCAGGTGGCGCTGATGAGGGCCGAATGCCAAGCGCGCCTCGGGCTGAACAAGACCGCCTTCCTCAACGGCTTTCGCAGCCGCAACGGCAACGAGCGCACCTCGCCTGCGACAGTCGCGGTGCATCACGTGCTATCCGAGGCGGCATGGAACCGCACGTGGACTAGCTTCCTCAAAGGTGCAAGCCGCACTCCGAGAAGAGCTGCATCGTCTTCGAGATGCTGCCGCCGCCGGAGTAAGAGAGGGGGCGGGTAACTACCTCCGTTTCGTGGTAAAACTAAAAGAGACACGGGGAAGCGGGGCAGAACTTAAGAGCTAGGGAGGAGCTAGGCCCTTTAAGTCACACAGCCCTCACGTGTATGTCTCACATGCACATACGGCTTTATCATGTACATGTTCATCGTCGCGCGGGTCCGGGGGGATTCCCAGAGAGTACTCTAACAAGAACAATATTTAACATCTCCCTCGCACACACATCTGTGGACTCAGCGCGGGACAACCATGAATGAAAAGCGACACGCGCTCCTCAGTCCAACTGGTGGTCGATCCGGATCGGGGCGGCTTCACCCGTGGCGCCCGCCGTGGCGCCGTCCCAAGCGCCCGGTGATGCCGCCGCCGCGACGAGCTGCTG